GTAGTAGTAGTAGCAGTAGTAGTGGGAGTCGTAGTAGTGGCAGTGGTTAGAGCGGCTATTTCTTTTAGTGCTGATCGTTAGCTTTATCCATGAGCAGAACGAGAGTCGGCCAAGCAACAAACTACGAGTGATAGCGGTGGCATTGCTACCCGCAGTAAGTGGTGGCAACAGGAGGATGATGAGGAGCAGGAGATGAGCAAGGGCAGCGACATGTTTAAGTTCAGCATCCGCGTGCCCCATGCTCCATCAGCAAAGAATAAATTGCCATGAATCGGCTGAGTGTGCGATGACTGCTTGTTTTGCGACTTTTATTGCTGCCTTTGGCTTCCTGGCAAGTCAAGTAACATGCGGATGCTTTCAGCACTTGGGCTCAAAGATTAGTCTAGAGTGCTTGCCTGAAGCTCAAATTGTCGCCGGTGTAGATGTAGAGTCAGTCAACCAGTCAGTTTGATCTAGCAGCTCTGGGACTTGCCGTGTTAGTGTTGCCTGTCACGGCAGTTGCACATATATATATATATATATGTTCTTGGCAAGTCTAAGCGTCATTGTCTGCAGACACAGGTAGTTCAGCCAGCGATGGCTGGTATTTGCAGCGTTGGAGCCTGGTCTCCACAGGACACCGCGCATCTCCGGTCAAGCCAGGACCCCATGGGCCCAGAGTAACACCGAAGCCTGAAGCGCAAAAGCTTTACAGCTTGATCCTTGGACCTCAAGCGGGCGCTGCAGCATGCAGTTGCTGGTAGGTAGGTTCGATGCAATCACACACGTCTGGGTTCCAGGTTCAGGGCTCCGGGTAAGCGCTGTGGCGGGGTCAGGCAGGGTCTGTTCTGAGATCCAGATGCTGAGTGATCGACTGAGAATACTCTACAAGCCGACGCATCATCAAAGCCTCCTTCACGACTTCCAAACCATTTCCAGAGAAGCCTGATACTGCCACAAATTGGCGATTCTCTCAGGCCGAAGATAGCGTGAAACATGGGCTGTCGTGAGCTTCTCAGCATGTCTTCCCAAATACTGGGTGGGACTTGCCCTTCATGTTTCCGGCTTTCCGGCTTGCCTTCGGTTTCGTTTCAGCACTTCTTCACCTGTGCTCTCTGTTTGCACCTACGGAAACTTACGCGTGTTGGTGTCATGGAATAACTTTGGAGACGTCGCCAAAAGTAGCCATTGCTAAGGTAATTACTGCGCAGCCAAGCCCAGGCAGTTCAAAGCAGGACGACTATGCCGCGAAGCAGGAGAGAGCCGAGAAGAAGGCCAGGGGTCCTTTCCTTTGGCCTCTCGGCTTTTGGGGAAAGCTACCCATATACCAGTATGGTTACTAGTTACTATTATGGGTACTATCATGGGTATGATCATAGGCTTATGTAAGGATTGCGTAAAGAGCTTTCAGGTTAGAAGGCCTTGGATTTAGGCTTCGGGCTGAAGTCGCACCTCTGAGCCACGGTTTTCCTCACCTGCGCTTGATATCTGCCCTGCCTCCCATCTCTGACAGGGGCACAAAGAAGAAAACACAGGCCAGCTGGGAATAGCTTGTGCGACAGTGATGGAATGGCTCGCCCCGCAATTGGAGAGTCTGATCTGAAGATAATGGTCCCCTTCAAGGGATACTAGGGGGTTCTATTCTAGGGTCCCCTTCACCCCCAAGCCTGAACCCTAAACTTTCGAGTTTCTGCCGGATCAACGGAGGCTTTCAGCAGAACATGTCCTTCCTTCAAAAAGTCAACCTTTTCAAGCGCTTGCCGAAGGACGGGTTGCCCATTTGATATGGCAATTTGTCTAGTTCTTGTTGGCGGTGGCAGTAAGCCGATTATCGAACCAACTGTATGTATATCATTCATCATAGAGCGCCTGCCTTTAGCATCCTCAACGTTTTCCCGGGTGTTCTCCTACACACCCGACAAACCTAGCTGTGTTGTCCGAGCTGACACGACAGAGGCCTGCGTCTAGCGTGCATAAAGTGTTTTGGTGCTGATGCCTGCTAAGTGCATGCAGCGAGCCTCGCGTGTGCTAGCAACCTCATATCGCAGGTCTCAGTGGTTGTGGTTAGGCTACTTGTGTCCAGGATCAACACCCGCTTTTGGCTGCCAACGTGATTCCGACGAACTACAAAGCCGGACAGGCAACAAGTTGACACCCAGACGCCGCATGCATCTTTGCAGCTGGTGCAGAACATGTCTGCTTCCAACATATCTGCTTCCATCGCGAAAGCCAGAAGACTCAGTAGACTCACTGGAGCAGATCGCCAGCACCGTGGCAGGTCGTTATTGCGCAGGGTGATCCAGGACTCTGCATACACAGCTGCAGGCTTGAACATGACAGCTTCAAGTACGCATTTGTGTGATAGGCCTGGACTGCCCTCCGGGTTTGTTTGACAGTTTTCCGGTGGTCTGAATTCCAAGTTCTGCATGTTACTAACCACATGTCGATGGCCGGATGGCTGTTGCCGAGAACCCAGAAGCATGAACCAGCCAGGATCGGAGTTCTTTGTCATCAAGTCAGGAACGGCCACCGTCTCCATTGCTCAGGACCTATGAGACGGAGAGAGTGCTAGTCGTAGCGCTAGCAGCGAGGCAGGAAAGGCAGTAAGGGAGGGAGGGTTTCACAGAAAGAGGAAGGTAGAAATTAGAGCGGTGTTGTTGCATTAAGTGGCTCCCACCAAAAGGCTTGCTCAAACGTGCTTATGACGGCCAACCGATGACTGCCTCCTCCATTAAGGGATGTTGTCGCTCTACCTGAAGTGCGAATTCGGAAGGACTGGCATCTGAAGTTTGCAACGAATTGGGAAAGCAATCGGTCAACAACAGGCGCTGAAACATAAAGCCCTGTATCGTGGCCCCAGAACCAACGAGGATGATGTTGATGATCATGATGTTGTTTATGGTCATGATGATGATCATCATGATGTTGATGATCAGGATGAAGATGCGTCTGAGGATGAGGATGAGGCGAGGATGAGGACGAGAATGCTGATGATGGTGGCGATGATGCTGATGATGCGCTGGTCATGATGTTGACGAAGACAGCTGGTTTTGCTCGGGAGTGTCCTAGTGACGGTAATGATTTTGCTTTCCTTCTGTTTAACTCCTGACATTCGTCCGGCATCCCTGGCAGGAGGAACAGTCGGCCCAGCAGGTGGCCACGCTAACTTCGGGCGACTACTTCGGCGAGGCAGTCTGCGTCCCCAGACCTAGGGTACTTGAAACCGACTGAAGCGTTTCCGCTTGTTCCTTTTCGTTTCACATGGCTGCAAAATGCGGCATTGGCAGATTCGGAGGTGAGGGCCTAGTAGGGTTGAGGGTCGTTCAAGGAGAGTGGATTACCGTGAGATTGCTTGCGTTAGTTTAGAGTTCTCTCGGTTACCCCTACGAAACCTCCACCTCAATGCCGAGAGCATCGTATCCATGACCAGTCTAGACCGTGAAACCCAGAGCTGCAAAGCCAACACCCACAACAGCACTGAAGCCCAAATCCAGTTTTTATTTCAGTCAGGTTATCTGGGTATAACTTCTTTAAACACATGTCGAGCATATGCAACATGGGAAAACGAATAAAGCAGGTTCGGCAAGACCATACTAAGCCGCAAGCCAACACAAACCCTGTAACCCTTAAGCTGACACCGTAAACCCTCTAAGCAAGTACACGAACCTATGAAACTCCAAGGCACTGCTTCGAGATGAGCCGCGGACCGCGACGATCACCGCCGCCACGAACTTGAGCGCCTTGGACACTTCTTTGATGGTTTTAGAGGGTGTTTATGAGGTTTTGTAGGCTGCAGGTTTCATGTACCCATTTCTATCAGCGATATTGTCTTCACAGGAGGTGTTCGCTGTAGGTGGGGCTTGTGTTCTTCGGTGTGGTTGTGCGGGACTTGTGCAGATTTGTAGGGCATGGGGTATGGAAGTTGTTTTAGAACGTCCTTAGGGTGAGGGGTTCAAGGGCGGGGGACTTGATTGCTGGGTTGCTTGCAGGATTCCGGGCGGGTGGTTCGAAGGTTTTGACGTCGGTTCATGTTGAGATTGCTCATGGTTTGGGAGTCCTTTGAGCATAGTTTGTGTGTGGTCAGGGGGCTCGTTGGATTTAGGATGTTTGTTGGTTCAAGGTATAACGCTTTGCCTCGAGGGTCGCTTCTCCAGGATTCGTGTCGAAGGATTACAGAGAACTGTAATCCAAGTCAAGCGCACACAGTCCAGCTCCTCCAGCTTCACATGCTAAGACATCGCTTTCAGGCATTCATGTTTCTGGGTAAGGTCAGACTTCTGGAAGGGTCTGTGTCTGTGTCTGTGTCACAGGTACCCTCAAGTTGACCAGAGAGAAGTTCCGCGAGCTTGGGTTGCACGAGAAGCTGCATTTCGCCAACCGCAAGGCACCGGATGGCTTGTGCCAGCATTGCAGGGGCGCTACTTTAAGGTGGGCTGCCACACCTGGTCAAATGTGCTCCAGTTCTCCCGTCCTTGATTCTCAAGGCTCTACATCCTGAGCCCCCAATCTCTAAAGCCAAGCCACTTAGAACCTTGTAAGCCCCAGGGGCAGCGTCATCCTGTATGGCATGCTTTTGCCCCGAGAAGCAAACCCTCAGCCCTAAACCCTAAACCTCTAAACTCTTTGGCCTGTAGTGTTAGATAAATGTAACATTTGGAAATTTGTATATATATATATATACATATAAACATAAATTCGTATGATTATTAACTAACAGACGAATATCGATATGTTAACACTAGTAAGAGTAGTCATAGTATTCATTCGAGTATTTGTCGTTGAGGCTTGGGGCCCACAAGGTGTGGGGACATCGGCCATACAGTTTCGGCAGGGTCTGGTGCATGGGCGTGTTGGGATGAGGGTCTGGCTGTGGTGCCAGTGAATATTACCGGTATATGGGGGCCTGAGGGCTGATGGTTTAGGGTTTGGGGATATACCTATACTCTGAAAGGTAGTTCCTTTTTTGGGTTGAGCCATTTTTAAAGTTAGGATCCTATCAGGTAATTCACCCCAAAACTGCACTGGAGACTCCAGGTAGGTCCTGCGATCATAGCAAAGTCTACCTAGGCTTCAGGGAATCGGGTGTACGACGCCAGCTCGGTATTGCGCAGAGTAGATAGAGTCTCGTGTTGCCGCTCGATACACCGCAGTGTGTTTGCCTGGCTCCAGTTTATGTTTTGTTGCTTTTTGTTTTCTGAGGTTGCTTTGTGCCTAAAGCCTAAATCCTACGCCTGCGAAGCCTTCAGCCCGTATCATCCAGATCCAAAGCATTCTATAGAGCCCAAAAACCATTAAGCTGGAAGCCCCGATAAACCCTAAAAACTCAATCCAGAACCCGCAGATCCTCTCAGTTCATAAACACTAGACTAATATTAGACCCTAAACCCTAAACCCTAAACCCTAAACCCCTAAACCCTAAACCCTAAACCCTAAGGCCACGAACTTTGAACCTTTGGGGTTGGTCTCAGGCCGTCGGTGCTGGCAAAACGGCGCCGGTGGAGAAGAAGGAGAACGCCGCCTGGGGCCCAAGGATTTATGATTCGGGTCCAGGCTTTAGAGTTAGGGTTTCGGGTTTAGGCTTCGTGAAGGCTTCGTGCTTTGTTTAAGAGTTGTTTTTGAGGGGTTCTGGGTTTGAGAGTCTAGAGTTTAGGATTGGGGGCTTTAGGTATCAAAGTGGAGAAGTAGTGCTTACGTCTGGGGCGCCGGAGGCCTCTATGAAGTGCTAGAAAGGGTTTAGGCTTAGGGTTTGCTGCAGGGTTGAGGGTAGTTTCTACTGATGACAAGTGGGAGTGTTTTTCCAGGGATCTCGGTGTCAAGATGGACGTTGTGGCAGACACTGTTGCTCTTGCATACTAAATATCGTGTTTGATCAGAACCCTCTGCAGTAATTTCGGACTGCAGGCAAAATCGACCAAATTCAGAATGCCAAAATTGTTAAGAGCAGTCAGCAAGAGCTCGGTGGTTTCGGAGCACCAGGGTTGAAAACCACTCCGGGCAAAACTGCAGGTACTCGAGAGAACGGCGGGTTGAAGCAGCTGTATACTTTTGTTGACGTGACGCGTGTCTGCAGAACCTTACATCATCGATTACACCAGCTTCAGGATAAAACTGCATCCAAGGCAGCAGATACCCGCAGGACACTTTACTGTGGAGGCTTGTCAGTTGTGGATAAGTTGTGGATGCAATATGGATCTGACAGAACGCCCGTGCAGCAGAAAAACCGCGTAAAAGATATGCTGCTATACTGTCATGAGCATCCCTTGTGAGAAGGGTACCGGGCTTGAGCTCAACATTTCACCAAGGGGGCGTTTAAGTGTTTTCCAGAAGATCGAGCTTTCGTTCTGCTCGCTTCCGTGGAGGCAACTTATCCTGGTGCAACCTGTGGTTTGAGCTTGCACTGATCTCCATCTTCCACCAAGTCCACTACCTACATGCTCCCAAGTGAAGTCGGAGACTGAAAGTAGCTAGTGATACACTGGAGCTCCGCACTGGAGCCCCAAATAGCCTAAACAAATAGCATGTGGAGACTGTAGACGCCCCGATAGACCCCAATGGCACTCCAAGGAAAAGAACGACGACGAGCGAGAGTTGATGAGGAGGGCATTGCTAAGCAATGAAAGCTTGCAGCTCGACGGCAACAAATCCCAAACCCTTGATACATCCCAACTCCATCAACCAAACAAGGTCATTATTGCATAAACCCAACACCTCCGGACACCTACGATACATTCCAAAGCCTTACATCGTGACGTCGCAAGCACTCCTGACACTCTGTCGCCTTGGGCTGAAGACGGTGCTGGTGGGCAGCATGGAGGTCTGAATAACTATGCCATAGCATATCCCAATTAAGGCCCTATTGTAGTTCTTTAGGCGCCCTCTTGTACTTAGGAACTCGATGGTCGTCTTAGATGACCAGCGCGTGAAGGACAAGCCCGGGCTCGCGGTCTGCTGGTTATTGAGGTCTACAGGGGTTCAGGGTTTAGGTTTAGGGGTTTAGGGACCCTATACAGGCCCTAAGCTTAAGTTGTATATAAAAGGCACAAACGAGTAATCTCAAAAGGACAAACGAATATGCGCAAAGGCAGACATACATGCACGTACGCCTGCTGACCAACCTACCTCCCCGCCTACTCACCAACCGACGAATCGTACCTACCTACCTACCTACCTACCTACCTGCCTGCCTACCTGCCTACCTGCCTACCTACCTACCTACCTACCTACCTACCCACCCAGCTGCCTAGCTGCGAAACGGCCATGTGATCACAGCATTGACATGCGGTGGCATGTGACAAATGAGAT